GGAGGAAGACTTTGAATGTGATAATAATGAGATGTGAGGGAGCTGCTTCATGAAGGAGAATGAGCTCTTGTAGCGGCTGTATGTATGTTTGGGAGTATATGGGGCTGACAGGAGCCTAGTCATGAGTATTGGGGATGAGAAGAGAAGCGCTGGCAGCAGTGGGTGGGGCACCACAGGGTGTGCACTGGGACCTCTCTTAGGAGCCAAGTGGGTGCGGGTGCCCATAAATATGACCACACTCAGAAATCGGGTGTAACTGAGAGGGCCCATACATTTTTACTGGCAATTGTGAGTGCAGTGAAGCTGAGCCATGATTGAGATTCTGGGTGGTTTCAAGCCACAGTTTGTGATCACCCTGAGATTATGCCATATTCTGTGTCTCCTGCAGGGGTGGGGTGATTGCCCCCTCCCATCAAATGCATCTGATTTAAATAACAATAATAATAAAAAAAAAACAACCTGGCACAGAAATTTGATCATCTTGGTCATAGAATGAAACATTAAGTGTAGAAGTTGTGTTTTGCTTGGAAACAATGAGGAGAGATGAGGTGATGAGATGAGATGTATCACTCTGGTGACCAGGAAGGCTGCTGGCTTCATAGCCGTTTAGGAATCAGTGTAATTTGGTCATGTCTTCAGTCATACAGCAGAGTCCATGTTCTTGTAATACACTGCTGATGAAAGATAGAGATCAAATTAACCCTAACTCACAATTGACTTGTCAACAGAAGCCTTTTGGGAGATTGTAGGGGAAAAAGTCATGAACCCATATTCCTGTACACTGTGGTGTCCATGAGATGACAAAAGGGAAGGTAACTGACATATCCTAAATGCCTTTTGGTTGGGCATTATTCATTCATCCATCTTCCACCATTTATCTACAATTGAGTCCTTACCTTTGAATTTGTATAAACAGTTTACATTTCAGTGATACCATTATAAATTACTTAAATTTCATGCTCACTGCAGCACTGATCATATCAGCCAGAAAAGTTATGCACGCTTCATGCACGTCATGCATACCTCATCATGCCCCATGCTTGCCTCATGCATACCTCATCACACTCCATACATGCTTCATGCTCGCCTCATGCATACCTCATGCTTGCCCCATGCACACCTCATGCACTCCTTATGCCCGCCCCATGCACGCCTCATGCGTGCCTCATGCATACCTCATGCACACCCCATGCTTGCCTGATGCACGCCTCATGCACTCCCCATGCACGCCTCATGCACACCTCGTGCACGCCTCATGCACTCCCCATGCACGCCTCATGCACACCTCGTGCACGCCTCATGCATACCTCATGCACTCCTCATGCACACCTCGTGCACGCCTCATGCACTCCCCATGCACGCCTCATGCACACCTCGTGCACGCCTCATGCATACCTCATGCACTCCATATGCCCGCCCCATG